GAACCCCTCGTGCATCCAATTCCCATGGGCAAAATTCCCCAGGGCTGGACTGATTTTTGGGCAGCAATCTCCAGCCTTTCGTTAGACTCGGTTTTCCTAAAGCCCAGACATGATTTTGCTGCCTTTCTCAGCTGGGTGACCTTGGCTCCAGCATCCTTGCGCATCCCGGTGGAGATGCTCCAGGCGCTGCTTTCCCGAAGCTCCCGGTCCTTTTGCACACAGTCATTCTTGGCTGCCCTCAGTAGGGCCAGGAGCTCAGACCCAGCTGAGGCCGCCTCGGTGCCAACCCGGCAGCTTGGCCAAGCAGCTGAGCCCAGACGGGCCCAGCGGGCTCCCCGCGACGCGCTCCGAGGGCCGCCGGCACAGCCCGGCATGGCCCGGCACGGCCCAGCACAGCCCCCGGCGCCCTCCGCGCTCGTTCCCGCGTCCCGCTCCTCCGTCGTGGCGCTGGAAATCCACCCGTCCCCATTCTCACCTCCTGGGACCTTCCAGAAAAACTTGGAAAGGGCTCGGGCATCCACAGCTGTTCATCCAGCAGGGATAGAGACGGGAGCAGCTCCGCTTCTTCCAGTGGAACATCTTGCCTGTCCTATAACCCTCGAGAAGGCTGAGGGAAGTCACGGGCAGCACTTCTTTCCCAAAAGCACGTTGTTAGCAAATATCCGTGTTTTTCTAGCTGGAAAAAAGAGCCCGAGCCCCCTTAAGCGGTTTGGGGGCCGGTATGATTTGACCGAATGTGCTGAAACATCCGCGACGCGGTGGCCGCTCCTCCTGCGGCTGCTGTTCACCAGCCCCATCTGAAATTCTTCCCAAACTATTGGATCAGGATTTTCTTGCCCACCCGTTTGCATTTTATACCCGCACCAAAATACGTCTTTATAAACAACACAAGCTTTATCTTGACTCTAACCAGCGCCCTCGACTTAAAGCTAAATGCATAATTTACTGCAAATTAAACTTAATGGGACTAGAATAATTATGTTGACTTTTGGAAGTACTTAAGGATAAATACATGATTAGATATTTTGCACACTGCCAGGAAATATTTATTTCGAAATACAAATTCCTCCCGTTGAGCCTTTTGATGGAATACTTAGAGGTGACACTATCAGCACAGAGATTACGGTACCATTAAGGCCACTTAAATAAATTACCCTGCTGCATTTTCCGCAGTCGAGAGGTGGGAAGTCTCCGGTAAAAGGCACCGTCTGCCCCCGCCACGTGGGACACGGCCCCCATCCAGGTCCCTCCGCAGCGGCTGGATGTCCCTGACTCCGCTCGCTCCTTCCAGCGTGGATGCGGGAAGGCAGCGGGTGCATCCCAGCACAGCGGTGCCGGCCGGCAGCGGGGTAGGAGCTAATCCCGGTTGGGATTATAGCGGCTGTGACCTGGTTGGTCTCCTCCATCAGCATCAGGAGCTTTGGCAAGAGCATCCGTGCGTGATCCGGGAGGATGAATGTGGAGCAGGGACCAGGGCCGGGCTCACCCAGCACCGCCAGAGTCAGGCTGGGGAGTGCGCCCATGGACGGGAGCATCCAGGTCACCTCCAAGGACAGCGGGACGTTCCCACGTTGGGAATTGGGCGCTGCGGCTGGATTAGCTCTGGGAGCGCGAAGGGCTCCCTCAGAGCGCTCGGACCCCTCGGCATCATCGAGGGATGAGCAGGAGCGGGGCCGTCTCCATGGACAGCTCCACAGCCACCGCCTCTCGGCCAAGGGGACAAAAACTCCCCTTCTCCCTAAAGACGGTGCAGGAAAGAAGGGGAAATCCATCGGTTTGGGGGCAGGAAGGTCACCAAGAGCAACGACCAAGCCAAGGCCTTTGGAAAACCCATGGGATCCGGTTTGGCTGCGGGGCCGGGACGCTGCCCGCGGCAGAACGGTTCCCAAGGACACCGGGAACAACCAGGCCAGGAGCCCCGGGAAGGGCCGGATCCCGCGGGGCTCCCGGCCCCTCCTCAGCGCAACCCTCGCTTTTCATTTGCATTGTCCCCCTTTTTGTTGTTTATCAGTAAGATGTAATTACAACGTCCTTCACAAACCATAATAAAAGACGAAAACCGGGCCTGACAAGTCAATTAGTTGTTTTTTTTTCTCCCCCCACCCCTCCTCACTCTCCATTAAATTAAGACTCAAGTGTTACTGGAAGTGTTTAATATCACAACACATTAAACCCAAGGCGGCTCCGAAATAAATAAATCACTGCAGACACCGCCGGGGCCTTCTTTTCCTGCAGCCCTTTCCTACGCTTTTATTTTCCAGTTGGGAAACGTGGAAGAGTTTCTCTTTCCTTTTGTGTTTCTTTTCCCTAGCCTTTCCATATGGGAAAACCGAGGCTGGGAATAAGCCCAGGGGATCTCCTGGCAGCAGCAGAGCCATGAGGTGTCACCTCCAGCCGGGAGCTTTGGCCCGGCCCTGATTTTGGGGCGGCTTCTGCTGTTTTTGCAGTTATACACGGCTCCATTTCCAGCCCGGCACACAAAACCACGGGGGAAGGATGAGGAGGGGGAGGAAGAAGCCGCAGGAAGGAGGGAGCTTTCAGCTCCACAGGCGGCGAAAGAAACCCAGAGGCCATCACGAATTGGGGAACATTTATTTAGGCAATGGATTTTCTTGAAAGAAACCAAAAAAAGTCATTAGAGTAATTAAAAAAATAAACTAAAGCAGCCGACGAGGCGGGCGCACGCGGTGCAACAGCCGCGTCCCCGGCGGCAGCGCGCGGGCGGGAATCAGCCTTTCCGAGCGGGCACGACGCCATTCCGGGATTTTTGTCTTTTTTAAAAAAAAAAAAACAGGAAAAAGAAGAAGTACCACTCCAATCTGTAATACCAGTAAGCGTCATCCATCTTAAGAAGGGTATTTATATTTTATATATATTTCTCTCTATATATTCCTATGTACAGGTTGGCCTCGCTTCGGGGCACGGCAGCATCTCCGGCGGGGCTGGATATCGGCTGCTCTTCCAGGCTGCCCTTCCCAAGAGATGCTCGGAATACCCGGAGATATCCAGCAAGGAGATATTAAAAAAAAAGAAAAAAGAAAGAGAAATCTCACTTTTAAAACATATGTACAACTCCTCCAAGTCTCTGTTTTCTCACGGGGGCTAAACGGGGTTTCTGTTTCTCTTCTTCTCTTTTTCATTACTGTTCTTTCCTGGCCGCGTTGCCCCCGCGTGCAGGAGAGGCGGCTCCAGCACCACCAAACCCCGGTGCCAACGGCAACTTCCCCAAAAGTAGATTTTCAAGCGAAAAATAAGAAGAGCAGGATCCAAATCCCGCATTCCGGGGGGTAGCAACACGGGGCGGTCTCAGCCCCCGTGCCGGAGCATCCCGTGGCACCGGCGCTCCGGCCGCGGAAAGGAGGGATTTGGGCAAAAGGCGGCGGTTTTGGCCCAGCGGCTCCCGCGGGGCCAGGGCTGGCGGTGCTGGAAGCGCCGGGGGAAGCGGCCGGACGGGGGTTTCGTAGCCCTTGGAAGCGGTTGTCGAGTCAAGCAGCGGGAGGCGGCGCACGGGGCCCATCCACAGCCTGGAAAACCGGGGCAGGAGGCGGCCGAGGGCAACGGGAAGCCAGAGCTTATTCCTGCCTGGAACTGCAGACGCTTAACGCGCAAGTGGTTGCATATGAGTAAATCCTCCGAAACGGGGAGAGGGAAGAGATTCATCTTGGGATGCTCTTCCCCACTTGGAAGGTGGCTGGAAATTGGCCCCGTGTGAACTCAGCCAGGATTCGAGTGTCCTCCGAAGGGTTATCCAGCCTCTGGATAACACGGCATATATCCCAGTGCCCGGGGAACGGCTCCTCCACAACCCGGCCTTCTCCTCCCCCACAAAAATATCTTTAACTGCTACAAAATCAGGTGAAAAAAAGTGCATTTCGGCACCGCTCGTGCCCCTCCACCACGCGGGTCCCCTGCGCCGCCTTGCCGGGAATAGCCTGGCGCCGGCTCCCTGAATTAGCCCCAGGACACCCCGTCCGGATCCACAGGGACTCTGGCCCCTCCAGGCTGAGAGCTCCTCGGGCTGAGGCCGGGGTTCTCCCAAAGCAATTGGATTCACCCCAGCACCCTGCTAATCCCGGGAATAATCCCGACACCTCCGAGGACGGGTTTTATCCTGGGGCTTTCAAGGAAAAAAGCCAACTCCAATGTAAGCTGGGGCAGCAGGGCCCGGCTGAGGGATTCCACGGGGCCCCGT